CATAACACCTTCAGAGAAGAAGCATGACACTTCGCTCCTTGTTACAGGAATAACATAACGTCTCAACACATAGATCTGTAGCATAGGCCTTCAATCACAGATCTAGACTGTAACTGGCATAACACCTTCAGAGAAGAAGCATGACACTTCGCTCCTTGTTACAGGAATAACATAACGTCTCAACACATAGATCTATAGACAAGGCCCGTGTCTTAAGCGAGTTCTTAGTATAAGTGTCACTCTCTATAAAAACTCACTTAACCAAACCATTGACACCTATGACAGGTATGACAGAATTTTTTTTAGTATGAAAATTCTCATTTGTCACACACTACGCTACAATCGCCTAATGCCGGCCAAAATGTCACGTGAGGGTGGAAATTTGATGGTGTTAAAGAACATGTGATTTTTTAAAATGGGAACGCGAACGCGCTTTTTAATTATCTTCATTCGCTATGGCTTCGGCTTCTTTGGACGATTATATGATTCAGACTCCTGCAGATGGATGGTCACTTCTAGGCTTTCTTGAGTATCGCAAGAAACAAAATGATTTCTCGGGACTAAAGGTTAATGAGCATTATAGATACCAAATGAGTTTGGTAGCCGTGCAGTCATACAATAAATTCACCGCAGTTGAAAGGGCAAAAGCACAGTATTGCCTCGACCATTTCAAGGTGAGTCTTATAGTTAAGCATAGGAAGGAAGAAAATTTTGGAAAAATAAATTTATTGAAGGTTTCATGAAAAAGATTCCAAGGTAATGATTACGTTAATTTTGCATATTGTATTGATAATAGGATGAGGTTAAAGACGAACGCGTTTGTCATTTTTGGCGTAACCTTATTCAGGAAAAGCAAGAGGTAAGTGTCGCATCATATTGATGTCCTTTACGTATATGACATAAATATTCTTACCCTCTTTTTTCCAAAGTCGGAGTTAATCACTCTTGAGAATGAAATGAAGATTTCTCAAAAGAAGAAAGATTTACTGGTTGAACGTGCTGTCTTTGAACATGTACGCCTATTATTTCGTTAAGTATGACTTTTTTATGATTTTCTAATTAAGGTTGCGTCTAGACTGAGTTACAGACCGAGTTATTCTACGCTACCGCACAAGAAGCCGGAAGGCAATCGCAGATTATACAACAAGAAATAACTTATAAATTGGTATATGTGATGCTCTCTTGCATCTATTTTCTACATGTATCGATTAAAATTGTACATCACTCACGAATGAATGCGAATTTTAAAGAATGTAGGGAAACGGTCAGCTGAGGAAACATATCCCATCACTTCTCCTCCTAATCTTCGCATTCAGCATGAACAGGATGAGACACGAACTCCGGAAAATAAGATAGGTAGTTTCCATCATGTTTTTAATGTAAAGCTCGCAACAAAAATGTCTTCTCACCTTTCGGATGTATGCACAGGTTGCGGAGGTTGTAGACGACGAAGAACCTCCGATTGAATGGGAATTTGATACACCACGACCAAGTTGGCTGAACAAAGTAATAGAGGAACATTGCTTATTAATTTCAAAGGATGATCCAAAAACTATATATGAATCGTCGTTAAAGTAAATGTTGGACAAATACTGTTCTATTTTATTTGATGGTAGTAGATTCTAACAAAGTTTTTTCCTTAGATCAATTTGGTGGAAGATCGTAGACTCATCAGATCCAAAATTTGTAGATTTTCTGTCAGAATCAGATCTATCAGATCTGAACGCGGTGTTTTTATCTGCTTTAAAAAATTGGACCGTGTTAGAACCTTCGGCAGAGAAATGTTTAAAGTCTCTTGCAAAGGTGACGATTTAAGTGTTTCAATTCTTTTATTGAAATCTTAATTAACATTTGCTTTTGGTTTCCAGCTTGACAGCTATCAGCTTCGTATTATTGGAGAAACCGTAAGACCGAAGGGAACACACGGAGCCATTATTAGACTCCAAGAAATGTTGAAAAACATTAGGGATCCAGTTACCCCAGTTACCTTAGAAGCTGACGATCTATTTTGTGATGGATATCTTGACGAAGATAATAAAATTTTTCACGAAGAGACCCCACTGCTTGATCTTAAAGATCATATGGACCCAGATGTTGCGTATATTTTTGACTTGGTTCGATATACGTAAGTTCATTTGATAGATCAGCGTTTAATCACACATGCAACTTCACATACTTTTACTTCACTTCCACCAGGTGTGAAATGATTGCGAAAGGAATTCCCGATAGACAAAACTCAGAGCGGGACATCGATATCTTTATCAAACGTCACATTTTTTCATGTTTCGATGACATTTTGGACAGTCATTTGTAAGTTCCATTTTTATCCTTAAGTATTTTTATTGTTTGTAATTGTGCTTGAATAATTTTTCTTAAATAAGCGGTGAGGTGGTATCTAGAGCTTCACGGGATCGTCGAGCAAATGCGATAGATGCTCCGGATAAAGCAGAAGGCTACCATCTAGACTGGATGTTCACGGTATGGTAAATTCTTAAAGGGTTCATTGTTATTATCAGAGCGTTTACTAGCTTAAATCTACAGAAACATGATTTAGGAAAAAATTTATCTTGGGGTCAAGAATTCTCAGTTTGTGAGCGTACTGGTTCCAAAATTGAGAACAAGCGAAAGATTATTTCAAATAACTTAAAAGCACAGAAGACTTTGAGAGATATGCATCGATCTCTAATTGAAGTGATATCTGCTGAAGGTGGAGGAATACTCTCGAAGCCAATTCTGCAGGCTAGCACAAAGCTTATCATGCCCGGATTTTTATCATCTTACTTTTTGATGCGTGCTATTCTAATTATATACGTAGGAGAAGGTTATTACTCATCGATCAATTTAGCAGATTTCGACATACCAACTAAATACGAGGAGCTAAAGTCTATCATTGAGATATCACGCATAATGCTTCAAGTCAAGGTTAGTGGCGTCTTCAGAGTCCTTAGAGTATGACTTTACATTCATATGCGTTATTTTTTTTTGCAGAAATTACTATCTATTACTATTACTCGATTTAAGCTTATGAAAAATAGAGCTAAAAAGGAAAAACTCGCTCCGGGAAGAGTGATATTACCTGTTAGACAGAAGGAGTACAGATCTCCACAGAAACCGAAGGTAAGTAACAAGTTAAGATTCATTGAATCATTGTATTTGACATCACTGATGCGAAATGTTATTTTATTTCTTGATCTCAGAAGCAAACATATAATGTAATATTGTCACGTACTTGCGAACCCAATGGGAGCTTTTGACAAATTATTAATCAAAAAATATTGAGAAAGATTTACAATTAATTTACTAGAACCTACGTATTAGAATTTCTTAGCCGGTGCTTTTTTATCTTCTTACTGTGACATGAGTCACATTTATTGATAGTATCAGTTTAAAGCGTTGCAAAGTATTGCACCATTAATATGTAATTTAGGCTTTATATTTTTTTAATAATGATTATGGCGTGTGATGTGTATAGAAAAATAATTTTTTGATCAGCGTTCCGAAACAGAACGCGCATGTGATGCTTTTATATAACCAAAAATAATGTGCTAATCGCTGAATTAATCGTGGGGCTTATATTTAGACAGCGAATTCAAACTTTTTACAGCAGTAACGATTACTAAATTATCCCAGGATGATATTGATTATGTATTGACAAAACTTTCGGCGTGAACATTTTACTGCGCCACAAATCATGACTGGATCACAACCTATGTAGCCGTGATATAGTTTCATGTTACTGTTTTGTCCATAATTTGGGCATTTATTTTTTTTACATATGTATGGGTGTGAGATCGTCACAGATACATCAATTTTGACGATCCCGGACAGCGTGTTTTAATGGACTCTACCATCATAAAAATCGGGTATTTCGTGCACGTGCATTTTATTCGTAATCAATTTCCCGAATTCCTGTTATGCTTTATCCGGCTAAAGAAAAAAATCCGAAATCTGATTAGCCGATCATCTCATGATTTTGAGATTTTATAGTTTCGTTTCGGTTTCTTAATTTCATTTATTTCATTTTTTTCGTCTTGTTTAGTTTTCTTTTCGGTTCATTTTTATTTTTTCTTTTATTTTATTTTATTTTTATTTTATTTTAAAAAAAAATTTAAATTAATAAAACTGTCGTACAACGATTAACAGATTGCATGTTAAAATAAAATGACTAGAATTTACAAAATATTTCTGGAAAAATTATATCATAGTAAAATTATATTTGTGTAATGAAATCAGTAATCATCTACTATAACGAATAATTCATTAACGCTATAACGAAGATTCTTATAATGAAGTCCTGATCGGCTGGATCGGCAACTTCGTCATATCGAGGTGTGACTGTATCCACTTATTCATACTTTGTTAACATTGAGGATATCTGTAGCATGTTCAATCCACAAGATATTATATGATTTTGATTCTGGGGATAGTGTGCATAGTTCTGATAAAAAAGTAGTAACGGTTTCGACTCCTAAAAAATTATAGAATAGAGTTCGATTTAATACATGTAATTATTAATAAAAAATTTTTTTTAACAAAATCACATATTATAAAAACTGTTAACAATGTTAAAGATCAGACAAATATATATTCATGTATGTAGCATATATCAGATAATAATTTTTTTTTGGCAAAAGTTTATGACCAATGGTCATAATGTCACGTAAAATTCTTAATCAGATCTGATCCGCCAGATATGTTATGAAACTGGCATGTGAATTAATATATTTCATTGCTATGTCCTAATGGGTATATTCTTTGAATGCAAACTTTTTTTTGCGCAAAGCTATATCTAATAAAATGTTACATTCTGACTATAAACATATTATTAATAGATTACCTAAAAGTCTTATTAAGAGAGCGTGCAAAAGACTCTTATACCATTCTAAAGATCCTATTTCATTAGAATCTATTTCTAGAAAGTCCAAATGAATTGAATCTTATTTGAGATACACATTAGAGATTTATGAGAATTCATTAAATAGGAAATGCAAAAATATGACTCAGAAAAAATTACTACGTCCTTGAAGTTAGTCAGAATGTGATGTATTTCCAGCATTACCATATGTATGTATTTTAGATAGTAAGCTTCAAACTGATAGTATCTCTTAGAATCTCGAGAAAGAAAATAAACATTGAGTTATAAATGAATTTAAAGTCTTGTCTTATCTCAATATCTGCTTGATTATAATAGAAAGACTTTTAGGAAAATGATACAAGACATAGATAATGATTATAGAGAAAGGGTTAGTGCAAATAAGATATTATGCTACAAAATTAAGGATCTAAAGATGCAGGTATAGGAGGCAGAAAAAGAGCTAGCATTTATAAAGTCAGATTCTATTCATTAGTTGAGACACTTTTTTCAAGAATTTGATCCCATCCTAGCCGTATCCTATGTGGATGCTCACGAGGTATAGTTAGATCAAAAATAATAAGTTTTTTCTCATATAATGCCTTATTAATAATCTTAATTACACTACGTCAGTAATTAGCATATTGATACATAATTCTGACTAACTCATCTGCAGTACACGACCTATTAAATAAGCAGATATGCGTGAGATTTTTTCATATTATTTTTGGGCAATCAAAGTAATTCTGGGATACATATATTGAACTGATGTTATAATAGCGTCCCTCAATAAAATAAGGGACAATTTTCTCCTGCAGTTTTTTCAGATCAGCACATATATTTTCAAATATAGGCATTGTACCTTTATCTGGAGAAAACGAATCAACTTTAAGGATTTTATCAGGTTTTATTGCTCAAAATATGATATCTTCACAATATGGTTTTGGGCTATTTGATAATCAGATTTATATACAAGTATTTCAGCTTCTTAAGATTATGGCTAATGAGTAGTAAATCATCACACTTGATATAGCGCATCCCTCCTTTCTTCCCATTAAACATTCGATAAAGCTTATTTCTGAGTATGAGATTGAGAATCTTATTAGTTTTACCTGAATTAGTACAGCTACAAATTAGTAAATTGGAAAATACTCAAATGTCTATTATATTTTTTAGCATCTTTAATCTTGTTGATGTGATATACAAACCTATCAACTGGCTCAAGTTTATTTATTTTCATATCAAATGGAGTATTATTAATGATGTACTAAAAATAATCCCTTTTAATTCTTCGCCTCTTTCAAGAACCTTTTTCGATTAGAGTATATCTGATACAGGACAGGAGATCAGTTATATAGGGAACTTCAATAAGATATATTCCTTGATTCTTGCAGATATCCCGCTTCTTCTGATCACATATCTTTTGTGAATTTAGATTTTCATTTCCTCAGTGATAAAAACTATTGTGATGATAGTATTGGGGATTCTGAAATTTGAATGCAAGATGCAATTCCTCATTGTATCCATCGAGTTGCATTTCATCCAAAAAATTCAGCCTGCGTGATGGAAATTTTTTTCCTAGTAGATCTTCAAAAATATATCAGAATGTCCTTTCTTGCGTATATCAGCATAAGGGACACTATTCAAACTTTTTTACTATAAATTTTAATAGATACTCCCACTGGTGCGCACTATTCTCACAAGACCAAAGATATACATTATGTCCATTTATTTCTTCAGTCTTTCCTAGACATTGACCACCATGTTGAGAGGTATATTTATGTGCTTTTATTAGCATGTTATCAGAAATTTGAGTGAAGTGAACAAATCCAGTATGATAATATTTTCACATAAATTTATCAGGTGGGTATTCGATCTTATCAGGTTCTTCAATTACTTGAAGTTTCCATATTTAAAGGGTCTTTTAGGATTTTATCCTATCAGATAAGCAGTAGATTCGATAAGTTTATTCTCGAGATAATATAAGACTGGTTGTAGTGAATTTCTTTCAAAAACAACTCTTTTAATCTTATAAACTCGTAATGACTAATATGGATCAGTTGCCCTACGTCTATGATCTCCTTCCAGTTCGCCTGACTTTAACAAATATCTAACTATCATATCCTTTTTTAACTTCATCTCCTCATCTTTTCCGATTGCACACTTAGGTCTTTTAGAAGGCTTTGATTCAACTTCTTCTAAAGTCATAGCACAAGCTGGTGACATCCCAATAAGACAAGTTTTACTATTATTCAGATAATTAATACAGTCGATTCTCTCTACTGTCACACCCCTCGAGACCAAAAATAAAAAGTGTGACTATAGTGAAAAGTGACTATATAGAAGGATTTTTTTATAGTATTACTAAGTATTGGTTCCAAAATGATGTGATTATAATAATATTGTGATTATAGAAGGGTTTTTTTATATAATGTTAATAGGAACTGGTTTTTATGAAAGGTGTGTTTATAACGGAGGATTTATATGATATGATTGTATAGGGGGTGACTATAGAGAGGGTCGACTGTATACTTTTTAAGGATTTTCTTAAATATCATTGATCGCCTCCCATCAGTTAATTGTCCCTCTATAGCATATTGGATCTTATATGTTAATATTGCCATTGTTTTCTTAAACGCTTTAATGAAAGCTAAGCTCTCAAAACTATAAAGATCAACAACACATATTGGAACATTATACTGTTGCATTTTTCATAAAAATGCATCTCAGAATGAAGCATCGCCATCAGTCATTAATAATTTTGGCCATATAAGTAGGTTAGAAAGATCCTCATAGATATTTTTAATTGCAATTCAGATTTCTAAGCTATTTCTTGATATTAGTGAGCGTTCTTCCTTAAAATGTGTTACTACATCAATGACTAAGAGAGTAAAAACAAATACCAATCCACCATCTTGATCATGGGTATGGAGTAATATATCACATTGATGACTTTGTTCAGAATCTTAATTTTTGAAAAACTTGCCTCAGCTTTACAAGGTAATGGGTATCGATAAATTTGATAGCTATATTGATACCCCAATCATTTTGCAACATCTTGCAATTGGAAACTTCAGAACCTTTCGTTTTAATATTTTTTTTGCAATTCCTTGGCATTTGAATAAAATCCAGAAATATTATAATACAGAAGTCTATATACACTATGCGAAGCTTTTCATTAGAATCTATTATAATTTGTGGTTAGCTCATTCTCGGGCTATGATTATATAATGTGTTTAAATCAGGTGGAACATACTATGTCTTTACTTTCATGCGATCCAGCATATTCACAGCTTTTAGATATGAATCAGGAGTTTCGTAGTGGCATGAAACTGAGATAAAGGGAAGAAACTGGGAATTGCAAAATATTAGCGACAATACTTGTCTTGCAAATATTGGTAT